CTACACCGTCGTCTCATCCACACATTGAGACTCTGAAGCTCTGCCTGCCTACCTGGCCCTGCACGTGGAACTGGAAGCATTTCTGAGAACGGCACCATAGAGGTCCTGGATTTCAGTCTCTTGCCTAGCAATCTAAATTTGGCCTCCAGGACATCTCTCCTACCCTTCCCTACGTCATTGGTACCTACATGTACCATGACCACCGACTCCTCCCCAGCACTACCCACAAGTCTATCTAGATGCCTCGAGAGATCCGCAACCTTCTCACTAGGCCGGCAAGTGACCATACGGTTCTCCCGGTCATCACCAACCCAACTATCTATGTTTCTAATGATCGAATCACCCACTACTAACACCTGCCTCTTCCTAACTGGCATTCCCTCCCCCTCAGAGGTATCCTCAGTGCGAGAGGATACCGCAGCATCCTCGGGAAGGAGGGTCCCAACTACGGGATGGTTTCCCTCTGCTTCCATTGAATGCCCTGTTCCCTTGAGACTTTCATCCTCCTTAAGAGCACTGGGGCTCTCAGACTGGAGGTGGGACAGTACTACAGTGTCCCGGAAAGTCTCATCAACATAGCTCTCTATTGAATGCTCTGTTCCCTTGAGACTTTCATCCTCCTTAAGAGCACTGGGGCTCTCAGACTGGAGGTGGGACAGTACTACAGTGTCCCGGAAAGTCTCATCAACATAGCTCTCTGCCTCCCTTAGCTCCTCCAGTTCAGCCACCCTGGCCTCCAAAGCCCGAACTCGTTCTCTGAGGGCCAGGAGCTCCTTGCAATGGGCGCACACATACGCCACCCGCCCACAGGGCAGGTAATCATACATGTTACACTCGACGCAGTAAACAGGATAGCCCCCACTCTGCTGCTGGGCTTCTGTCTCCATTTTTATGAATAAGTTCAAGTATAAACTGCGCTTATTAAATATCTGGAATATAGATTATTATAAAAGTTAGGTTTAAGGAAGGTCAGGAGTCCTGGCACCCTCTAACTTGCCCCTCTAACCTCCCTCTCCAAACTCCCTGTTAGCTGCTCCTGTTCGCAAGCTCCCTGGTCGCTGACTCACAGCTAAATAAAAGTAAATACAAATAAAATATTATGTCCAACCCAAGATTTTAACCTTGTCTCTGGGTCAGGGGCCACTGTCCCACAGAAAAATCAGTTGATCACAGAAGTGAGAAGCAAAAGAGCAACTCACCCCCACCCCCCAAAATCCCCAATGCTCACTGACGTGGGCCCCAACTGAGACACCTCGCTCTCCTGGTGCTCCAGTCTCATTGTGGGGGGAGGCCAGGGGGAAGCCAGATGAACTGTTCTGGGGTTCCAGGGTTTTGTGGGCCCCCTAGTCCCTGGGGTGGGGCCAAAAATGAGGGGTCCAACCAGTGGGAAAGGGATGGGTGTATACAATCTGGGTTGAAGGTAGGGTGCAGGAGCAGGGTGCTGGTGGGTGTCTGGCCGGGGGAGGGGGCAGGAGGAGGGGGGCAAATTGTTCTCTTCAGCCTCTGAGGATTGGACTTAAACTGCAGCAAGGGAGGTTTAGGTTGGACGTTAGGGAAAACTTCCTGCCTGCCAGGGTGGTGAAACACTGGAATAAATTGCCTGGGGGGCTGTGGTATCTCCATGGCTGGAGATATTTAAGAGCAGGTTAGACACCTGTCAGGGATGATCAGACATGGCTGGGTTTTGAGGGCGGGGGACTGGACTTAATGACTCTCGAGGTTCCTTCTAGTTCTAGTGTTCTGTGATAAGAGCCATAGTCCAACCCCAAGGCTCTCTCTAGATTACATTCCTCTTTTGAAAGAGGGATGTGAATTGGACACATCGAAATTGCAAATGAAGCTGGGATTTGAATTTCCCACGCCTCATTTGCATAATCGTGTCACAGCGTTCTTTCGAAAAACACTATTTTGAAAGTGACGCCGTGGTCTAGACGTGGTTCTTTCCAAAAGAAAAGCCTTTTTGAACCATGACTAGGCCACGGTTTCACTTTCGAAATAGTGTTTTTTGAAAGAATGCCGTGATGCGATTATGCAAATAAAGCGTGGGAAATCCAAATCCTGGCTTCATTTGCAATTTCGATGTCTAATTTACATCCCTCTTTGGAAAGAGGACTAGTTCAGACGTACCCTTATGGTTTCTACCCCTTCCCTAAAGGGTGAATTCACAGGTTCCTGCCTCTCCCGGACTCGGGTAATCTTAACGTCTTGGTCTGGCCCTTGCTTATCCCTCCCTTGGCCTGCGGTAAGCCCTGTGCCCTGCCCTGTTTCCACCACCAGGCCTTTCCTTCGGAGCGCGTTAGCCAAGTGGGTTCTCAGCCGCTCGCGTCGGATCTCCACTCCCTTGCTCCTCCCAGAACGCCTGTCAGTCAGGCCTGTCTGATTTGCTGCCTCGGCATGGCCTGCTTGAGTTTCTGCAGTTGTATCGTCCTGCCCATAGTAACCGCTGTTGGTGGCTGGTTGACCGCAGTCACTGGTTCCAAGCTGCTGTCCTACCAGTGCCTGAGTCATCCAGCCTATCCCATAGGAATCGCCAGACTGGATCAGATCCATGGTCCATCTAGGCTGGTCTGAGGGGGGGGGGGGGGGAAGGGGCTGAAACCCCTCTGGCCAGCTGTAAGGAAATCTACCCCCTAATCCTTTTGAAAAGCTGATGCCAAGCTTTTCCAGGCACGAGGGCCGTTGTCTGTAACCCCCGGCTTCTGTAGCAAGTCCAGGCTGCTGTCAGGGCTCCTGGAGCGTGTCTCTATTGTCAGAAGGCAGGGGTAGCGGAGCACGGTCTGCTGGAAATCAGTCGGAAAGGGCTTTGTTCTGATGTGACACTGCTGTCAGTTGAAGTGCTCTGTTTCGGTGTTCTCCACCCGTGTTCCCTGCCACATAAAAGGCTTTTCTGCCAGGCTTCCTGTGTAGGTGTGTCTCGTATTGTTAAACTGTGTGACAGGATGGGATTTAGATGAATAGATGAAGCAGAAAACACTTCCTGATGAAGTTTGTCAGGGTGTCAATACAATTAACAAGGCCACAGCGGCCTCATCAGGAGGGAAGGGGCAGGTGCATTCCTCTAGCTGGATTTGAGTTCTCTGCCAGCGGTCAGAAGCTTGTGACCTTTGCACCTTGGTCTTGCGTGGCAGAAGCACATGCCTTATGGATTGGAAATGCACCAGCTGGAGCCCGAGTTGCATGTGTCCTGCCCTTTTGCTGCTATTAAGAATAGAGCATCACCAGGAGAGTTCTCCCCCAGTCTGAAGGGCGAAGGGATAGCTGTTATTTAAATCACCGCTTCATTTTCCTATGTCTGGTAGCCTAATCTACATGCCTCTGGCAACAGAGGCATGTAGTCTAGACGTACCCTAGGACAGCAGCGTTGGTCTAGAATGTTGGGTTTCCTGCAGCATTTCAAAAGCCCCTCTGACCCGTAATAACCTGCTTGTCCCATGCAGTGGCTGGCTTCTGCCGCAGGAGAGGGTGCAGTTACGTGGAAATTTCCTTTATCGTTGACTGGTGACAGCTGCTTCTCTCCCTTACTCCTGTGGACACCACTGCTGTAACTGTATCCTCAGTGCTGTGCCCTAGACGTTCTTATCCTTGGGCTCTGCTGACCCCAGACTGCTCCTTGGCTGGCACTGCATAGGTCTAGGTGTTCCCTGGGGCAGAGATGCCCAGCGGTGTTGATCCTGAGACTTGTGCTTTTGAAATCGCTGCAGCACTCCTGCCTGAAGTCACGTGGCTGCTGCTAGAATCCACAACCGTCACCTCTGAGCATGCAAAGGGATCGTCCTAGTGGTGGCTTGGAGGAGACCAGCATCAAACTCCATAATCTAAATGACTGGGTGAAGGCGGCTAGCAATTAACCATAGCCACATCTTCACTTGCTGTGCTGGAGGTGGATCGTCTGGTGTTTGATTTAGCAGGTCTAGCTCAGCCCCACTAAATGGAAAGCTGAGAGTGGCTCCGGTTGGAGCTGCTTGGTTGGTACTCGCAGTTGGGAGGAATAAGGGAAGCTGCTGGGTGTGTTTGCTCCCATTTGCCTCTGTGAAGACACCTTAAGCCAGTCTTGGCACTAAGCTGACTCCAGCTATGTATTGTATGTAGCGGGGAGTTGTGTACCTTAACCCAACCTTCCGGGTCTAGTGTAGACCTGGCCTCAGCCAGCTCTGAGTGCTCAAGTGCTTTTTAGGTAGCGGGGAGTTGTGTACCTTAACCCAATCTTCCGGGTCTAGTGTAGACCTGGCTTAAGTCAGCTGTGAGTGCTCAAGTGCTTTTTCGGCTCTTTGTGGGTGCAGTGATCCATATGTCACAGGGGACCCAGCATGCCCAGGGCAAAGTTGGCCCGACTCCCCTGCCTTGCCAATACCCTTCCGTTGACTGTCCCATCCAGTCCTTGGCATCTTGGCCAAAATGGCCAGATGCAATGCCTGTCACTGGGATCTTGGTGGAGTCACCACTCAGTCACCAGCTGGTAATGCCTTCCAGTCACTAGTGAACTGGTGCTGGGGATGAGTAGCAAACGCTCTAGGTTCCTGGTGGCTTAGTGGCCCCGACCCCATTAAGTCCTTGTGCCTGTCCTGTTAGCATCATGCCTTGTAAAAGCTGAATCCACGAACGCTTGTGGAGGTCAGCCGTTCCCAGCCTATGGACCATTGTGGGCTGCGTGTTCAGCTCGGTTACGTGGGCCTCAGCGCATGGCCTGGCTGGCCTGGAGGCTGCAGCCGAGTGCTGGTAGGGCGCAGGGTGAGAACTTCTGGGGTCATGGACAATCGAGGTGCCAGGGTCTGCACATAACAAACCTAACTCTCCAGCTGAGTAGCTTAAACTTTGCCCTCCCTTCGCCGCCGCCTTGGTTGCTTCCAGAGGTTGTCTTGATTGCTATTCCAGGCGTGTGCCTCCTGTCGAACTGTCCCTCTTGCGGAGAAACACGGGGCAGTGGCAGCTCCATTAATCTGATTTCGTTCCTTCCCCTCTCTCCAGACACGACGGGGGAGAACATTGCAGAGTCTCTCGTGGCAGAAGGACTGGCGTCGCGCAGGGAAGGAATCCGAGCCAATAAGTACGTATATTGCCTGCTGCCCCTCAGCTTGCCCTGGGGTTTAGAGGGGCTGTGGCCCTAGGCTTTCCCGAGCAGCTTTGTGGCAACAGGACAGAGTGGTGATGAATCATTTCCTCCGTGGCGTTCAGTGCGAGGCTTTCGAGAGTACGGTGTGTGGAGATGCTTTATCTTGGGCTGTGCCAGCAGCTTCTCAGCTGGGAACGGCACGTGGCAGCTCCCCCGTCCTTGGGGGAGGGAGGCTAAACAGACTCTTCTGCCCCTCCATAAGGCTGCTTTAGGAATGTGGGAGGTATCCCTAGCTGCAGAGCAACTTCTTGACGGGAGCCTTGGGCCGGCCCTGTGTGATCGTGCTGATGCACTGGGAGCGAACCCTGCAATTGGTACGTTTCCCCAGTTCTGTCTGCAGCGCTCAGCCCACAGGCATGCGGCCCTTAGGCTGCCGGGGTTCACAGGTGTCATTGGCGCCTCAGAGCTGACGTGTTAACTTCCCGGGCTCTGGAAGCAGCGTCCCACAAGCTCTCACGAGTAGCTCTTGCCCTGGCCTTGGGAGACCCAGGCTTTTAACTACAAGATGTCCCCGGATCTGCCCCGTGCGTCCCTAGGCTTGGGTCACTTACGCGGGGTGCGCCGTTTAGGCTGCCGGGGTTCACAGGTGTCATTGGCGCCTCAGAGCTGACGTGTTAACTTCCCGGGCTCTGGAAGCAGCGTCCCACAAGCTCTCACGAGTAGCTCTTGCCCTGGCCTTGGGAGACCCAGGCTTTTAACTACAAGATGTCCCCGGATCTGCCCCGTGCGTCCCTAGGCTTGGGTCACTTACGCGGGGTGCGCCGTGTGGAGCGGCTCGGTGTATAGCTGCTGGACGGTATTGTCATGCTCTGCCGGGTTGGACGCATGCCGGTGTCATTTCCCCAAGCCGTTACTAGCACACTTGGATGCCTTCCATGAGAGGCTTTCAGAGCCCGGCCTGTGAACAGGTGCGTTGGGTGAGCAGTGCCCACGTCACTAAGCATTTAGCTCCAGCCTTTCAATAGGAACATTCTGCAGCGCCAGGCGTTTCCCACGGCGCCGGGGGCCCTCAGTTGAGAGCCTCTTGCTCTTGGTGGTCCCTTTCAGGAGTCACGTCCCTAAAAGCTTTCCTCTAGGGCTGGTGTCCAGCCAGTTCTGGAGCAGTAGCCACTCTAGCCAGCTAGCCACGCTGTTCTGAAAACAAATCATTGTGAGCCAACTAGTCCCACTCAATTGGTCAACTAGCCACACGTGGCTAGTGGCACATGATGGACACCGTGGCTCTAGGGTATGAGAGGCAGCGGGGTGGGGGCAGGCAGCTGTGCGGGATTTGGTGCTTGTGGGGAGTGGGCTGAAAAGCCAGCTCTCCGTGGGCACCGGTAGGGATGTGGACGACTAGTCGACTATCCAATAAATAAATACTTATCGGGTAGTGGACAGGCCAGTCGACTAGTTGCTCCCCTCCCCCCCGCTGCCTTTGTCAGAGGCAGTAAAGTAGGGGGAAGAAGGGGCGTTTCAAAGCGGCAGCGCCATGTGGAGCCTGGGGTCAGCTGGGGACTCCCCCTTCCCCTCTAACCCCATGCTCCCTGCGGCGCTGCCGCTTTGAAATGCTGGGGGGAGCACAGAGCCAGCGAGTCCCCCACGGGCCCCGTGTTCCCCACAGCGCTTTAGTAACGGCCCTGGGGCTGTCGCTACACTTCAAAGGCGGAAGCGCCCTGTCGACCAGTCGGATAGCTGATGTAAATTGCCTCGACTATTTGATTTAGCCAAATCAAAATTTTACGTCCCTAGGCACCAGCTCCTGGCTCCCCCTCCCACTGCTGCCTCTGATCCACCAGGAGAAAGATAAGCCCAGGCTTGTTAATCGTGTAGTTGACTAAACGTTGACATCCCTAATGAAAAGGGCTCTTGTCTGCTGTGCCGTGCTTGGGTGTCAGCCGGCTAATTGGCTTAGGGAGGGCTTCAGCGCTGTACTTGCAAAGCACGAAGTCGCTCAGCTGTGAGATGCTGGGAGAGATCCCCGGGTCTCTAGTGTGCTGTGTTCTGTGATCAGCAAGGCGAGGCCTGGCTTCCCCTTGTATCTCAGAGCTGAGTGGGCTTTGGATTGTTAAAGCATCCAGAAGTGAAATGTCAAGTCAAATGTGTGCTCCCTGGAGCAAGCGGTGGTGGTAAAACATGCAAGATAGCAATGCCCCAGCAGCCAGCTGCCGGCTCGGCTCTCACAGTGGCGCTGTTTTCCTCTAGCCCGGAGCAGAGCCGCCTGGCGGAGCTGGAGGATCAGGCGAAGGTTGCGAAGAAAGGCATGTGGAGTGAGGGGACGGGCTCCCACACGGTTCGGGATCTCAAATACACCATCGAGAACCCGCGCCACTTTGTGGACTCCATGCACCAGAAGCCAGTCAATGGTAAGTGTGTGCTGCAGCCGGCAGGGAGCTCCGGGACGTTGCCGCCCTCCCGGTGCATCCGTTTGCCCTGCTCTGCGTGTTGGCCAGCCGCGGGGCGTGGCCGGCTCAGTCCCCTCTGCGTGTTGGCCTTTCCCGGCCGCCGGGCGGGGCGTGCTGCTTGCGGGTGCCTGGGTTTGGACGCTGAGGGGCGGGGGGTTTGCGGACGTGGCTGCACTCTCCCTCCTGAACGGACCCGCGCTTGTTTGCTCTGCAGCCATCATAGAGCACGTCCGGGACGGCAGCGTGGTCCGAGCCCTGCTCCTGCCGGATCACTACCTGGTCACCGTCATGCTCTCGGGCATCAAGGTGAGGCTTGGCCCTTGGTACCGTTCCCCCCTGATCCCCAGGCTTGGGGTCAGACCTGGGGTGGTGCTGTCTCCTGGCCCACCGCAGGCCTGTCGGTGTCCTGCGTGGCTCTGTGCGGAGCCCGTTCGGCTGTGCCTCTCCGGTGCGCGGAGCTGCTTTAAGGGCTTTCTCCAGGAGCCCATCCAGCCTCCTGAGAATGGCCAGAGTCCATTAAGTTCCTGTCTCGGAGCTGTCAGTCGCCTGTGTCCACGCCCCTCCTCTGCACTTCACCAGGGGACGGGGCGGCTCCTCCAGCTGCTGCTGATGGTGGGGGAGAGTCGCTAAGAGCCCCTTAAAGTCCAAGTCCTTTAGTAGCCTAAAAGTAGGGGGCCGAGTGCTTGGCGAAAGCTGGCTTGAAAACAGCCCCTTTCTGAAAGCATCCTGCGGCCAGGGCAGTCTTATCGCAGCTCAGCCTTGTCAGGGCTTTGGGTAAACTCTGTGGCGGGGCTGGTTCATAGGGTGAGCACAGGCCCTTCGCATCCAGCCCTGAATGGTGGTCCTGGGATATGGGGACTGGTGCTAGCGCTCTACTCAGGAGCTGGCCTGTGCGTCCCAAAGCCAGAGCACTCGGTCTTCCCCCTGCACTGCCTAGTCCAGCGTGGTGGAGGCGCTGTGTCCCTCAGTCGCTGCCTGGCCGTGGGGAGAGCTTTGCCAGTGCCTGAGCCCCTCCTGTTCTCAGTCTGCGCTGCCAGGCTGGTCCTGGGATATGGGGACTGGTGCTAGCGCTCTACTCAGGAGCTGGCCTGTGCGTCCCAAAGCCAGAGCACTCGGTCTTCCCCCTGCACTGCCTAGTCCAGCGTGGTGGAGGCGCTGTGTCCCTCAGTCGCTGCCTGGCCGTGGGGAGAGCTTTGCCAGTGCCTGAGCCCCTCCTGTTCTCAGTCTGCGCTGCCAGGCCTGCTTGCTGAGCGGAACCCGCGACCGGCAGAGGGGACTCGCTCACCCTCGCCCGGAGCCCTGGTGTTGGAGGAGCGGTTAGTCTCAGGGCCGCCGCCACCTCCACCTGTGGCCCTGGTCCGTTGAGCGCCGTGGTGCGGTGCCAGGACGCGGCGCTGGGCGGACATGCCTGTGCCCGGGGGTGATGGGCGTGCGGGAGCGCAGGCAGTAGCATACACAGCTGTGTGCACGCTCAGAGCTGGCTGGGCCCGGCCTGCCTGGGTTTGGCCCTATCTGCCCCTGGTGAGGGAGAGGCGGCTGGGCCGCATGTGCACGGGTGGCATCTGAGCACAGGGGAGCTGCAGCACCATGCAGGTTTGGCCTCCTTGGCCCTCCGCCAGAATGGAGAGCTGGCGCGGCCAAATCTGCGTGGGCCCTTGGGCAGCAGTGCTGCTGCTCCATCCCTGCCATGGGGCTAGGACTTGCCCCAGGGTCTGTCCTGCCTGGCCTCACCCTGCTTCCAGCAGCCCATGCTGCCCTGGCAGGCGGGGCTGGGAGCTGTGTGGCTTGGACTCAGTGGGCAAGGGGCTGCGACCGGGAGGGCTCCGTGGTGGCGCGGCCAAATCTGCGTGGGCCCTTGGGCAGCAGTGCTGCTGCTCCATCCCTGCCATGGGGCTAGGACTTGCCCCAGGGTCTGTCCTGCCTGGCCTCACCCTGCTTCCAGCAGCCCATGCTGCCCTGGCAGGCGGGGCTGGGAGCTGTGTGGCTTGGACTCAGTGGGCAAGGGGCTGCGACCGGGAGGGCTCCGTGGTACTCAGGCCTGATGGTGCACAGCATGGCGGCAGTTCCTGGAGGTGCCCTAGCTGCCGGTGCTTGGCCCAGCCGCC